TCCTGTTAAAAGAATCTAATGGAGATTTGGGGGAAGGAAACTGACTGACTATGACAGACTGCAACAGACTGCGACAGACTAAGACAGTCTAAGACAGTGTAAGTGTTATTTGCTTTTCAATTATGATATACTAAAAAAATTTTCAATAAAAAATTATTAAGGAAAAAAAAGACACAGACACAGATTTTTAAAATAAAGTTAACCCCTAAGGGCAAAAAAAAAAAAATACAGACAGTACAAATGCACTGTCTGTAACAGATCTGGCAAGGAAGGGGTTAAAATGGGATTTTTATTCACTCCTAATCCTGTATCCTGTATCCTTGAGGGGTTAAGAACAAGGCTAAGTTAGGTCAGTAATAAATTACTGTGTTGGAGAATTTTGAATTCAGAGTATGTTAATATACAAATTTGTCACATTTAGTTCTTATCTTTTCCAGTTAATTGTACATTAGAAAGAGTAACTAGTAAGTAGGAGAAAGTGCTTGAAATGTGTTATAAAGGATTGAGTTTTAAAGTTACTAAAGTATGTATTTTGCATTAGTTGGTGAAGGCATCTAATTGAAGCCTCTTTTAAAAGTCTAGATAGAATTTGCATTGTTTTCATGAACTTGAGATGTATGGAATTTAATGTAACAACGAGTATCCAACATTCATTATGTTTGGCATTGGTATACATAAACATAGTTTAATGGCATTACAAGTCAAATGTGTTTTACTTTTGAAAATCACTGCCTCTTTCAATGTGCAGCAAAATAAGAATAGCAGTCTAATTATTGATTTATTTAAGTTCATTTTTGGACTATTCATTCATGCAGCGCTCCTGTATTTTTAATTTAGAACTAGTCCCATCAACTCGGTCCTGGATTATTTTATGATTTATTTATATTTGACTGCCGGTATTAATTTTTTTTTGTTAAATTGTTTCTGTAGCTGAACACTGATATTTAGTATGTTGCAGTACATGTGACATTGTAAAACCAGATGTGCAATATTTTGTTGTTATTTTGTTCCTTGTTTGGTTGTGATTTAGAGATATAGATGTTAGTCGGAGACTACACCTGTATTCAATTGTCTTCTTCAGATAAGAATATTATTTGATGACAAAAGTGAATTAAATATGTTGCTATTTCTCAACAGTTTCCTTTTTCAGATCATTGTCACAGCAATCACAGTATGTTGATAATCAATAATCATTCAATATGTTTTATATTCCAACAGCACTTTGTCTATTCTTTGCACTTTTAGCACTTTTATGGTTCAGCACCAGTCACTTTACTATGATCACAGTTGCATGATTATTGACAATATTGTTCAATATCAATACTGGTTTTTATTACAAGCCTGTCACTTTTATTACATACATCACTTTGCCCATGATCTGCTTTCGGGCGGATACATTAACTTTGCACACCATGATGGCCTTATGGCTACATAACTACACGCCTCATGTTACCCTTATCTATTCATCCTTTTATTCTATTTATCACTGTAAAGTTGCTTCCAGTCTGTTAGATCACTCAATTCATGGCATGTTTGTTTATATTTATTTCCATAGCGACGCTTCAGATACCCACGTCGCTATGGATATGAGCACTACGTCATGACATCTTGACGACACAAGGGGGCAGAGATTATACGCGCATGCGCACTTTGCACAGTAGAACGCCGGTCAGGCATCACATTCACCTGGGGGTCAATCAATTTTACTAACATTTCTATGTATATAAGCAATGTATGTTCATTATGTATTTGTATTTTGATCCTGATGAAAGTCCTCTATGTAGGACTGAAAAGTTGATCGTTTTTAATTTTGAACTAAATACATTTTGGACTTTTATAATCTGAGTGCTGATACCTATTTACAAATATATATATATATATGTAAAGGCTTGCCTGGAGTTGTGGGAGGGGCATGGTGATCCTATTTAAACTCACCCCCCTTTTTCTGCATCACCGTGGAGTTTTGACTTCGGCAGGCACCACTTCCGGTTTCGGACTTCCAGGTCACGATCACTTCCAGTTTGCGGTCTGTGCATTCAGATCGGCTAACAGCTGCTGTTTTCCCACACGCTCGTGGGGCACTAAAATCGTGAGACTTGCAATCGTGAGACTCTGCCACACGCCGGATGGTCCATAGGGCTGGGGGGGCTGGCAGTAAAACGCACGGACACGGCAGCCAGAGACCACACAGGTCTCCACACTGCTGACAGGTTTTGTTTTCAGCTTACTTAGTACACTACTAAAACGAAGCTTACATGCTGCTGGGGAAGTTAGTTTAAACTGTAAATACTGTATCACATACCACAGTACTAATACTGGGCTGCATAATGTATACTGTTATGACATACTACTTGCTGCATACTATTTTATACTTAGCACATACTAACTAAACTGCATACTAATGTATACTTTTTCATACTACTTACTGCATACTAATGTATACTTAGCACATACTAACTACACTGCATACTAATGTATACTACTTACTGCATACTACTGAATACTAAACACATACTAACTAAACGGCATACTAACGTATACTTTATGTCATACTACTTACTGCATACTACTGTATACTTGGCACATACTAACTAAACTGCATACTAATGTATACTTTATGTCATACTACTTAATGCATACTACTGTATAATTAGCACATACTAACTGAGCTGCATAATGATGTATACTTTATTTTCATGCTAATTGCTGCATACTACTATATACTTATCATATACTAATTAAGCTGCATACTAACATATACTTATTTCATGCTACCTTGCTGCATGCTACTACATACTTATCACATACTAACTGGGCCGCATTCTAAGGCATACTTTTATTACATACTGCTGGCTACATACTATACTTATCACATACTACTGTATACTTTTATTACAGACTACTTGCTGCATACTACCGTATAGCTCATTACATTCTACGTACAGCACTACAGTAGTACATACTGCTATGTAGCATACTAGGCTTCTCTATGGTATTACATACTACTGGGCTTACCACTATGTTTCAAATGGTGTTACATTCTATTGCGTTACATGCTACGGTATGCCATGATACTATAAGACTTGCTGCATACTATGGTGTTATATACTACCATGGCACGAGTGGTTCGACATGTGGCAGTATTTCATGCTACTTTACTACGTGACTGTAGGGCATATTCTAAGATACGCGCTACGCGATAAAGGAGGGCGGCAGCTTACATATTATGGTGGTGCATGTTGCTGTGGATTTACAATGTGTTCACATGCTTTACGTGCATTAATCTACAAAAGCTAGTATCAGAAATCACATTACTTATTTCTCTTTGCTTACTTTTCAGGTTCAAGCTGACTCAAATCAACTATATTCATTACTATCAAATTTTTATTTAACATTGTCCAGTAAGTAAGGTGTTAAGTAAGGGGTACTCTCAGCATTAAAAGGGAAGTACGTTTATTACTATGTATAACATATACTCCTCTCTACTATCACTATAAACCTCGCTTCCATTGACTCAGATTCTCTGTTTGGTTGTGACCTAATTTTTTGATCTAACAACAACAAGTGGATCTCAGGGATGTTTTGCCTAAACTCCCCCCTTATAGCTTATGATTTAGTGTTACTGGCTTATCTAGGATAGGCGGCCACTAGTAAATTATCCGGGCTTCTTCGCCTTAGAAGTAGTGGTCCCGCGAGGCCAACCCATTTCCTCCACGCTTGAGGACATTCGTCCCTTGGGCCAAATCATAGTTAGCCACCTCGCACGGTTGCATAGAGAGGGCCTCACTTGTCACTCCAATTCTATATTATGCGTTTTAGTCGTCATCGAGAGGCCAACACCCCACCACAACGGCATTAACTAGCCAGCTAGTAACCAAAAGATGATACAATGGCTGATGGTTAGATTATTTCCTTTTAGTATGTCACATCTACCGGATGACACAGACAATTTGTCTCTACCCAGTTCTCCGGCCAGATCCTTGTCACCTGCTCGTAAAGGCGACATTGGGAGTCCAACTTCAATAAGGTCATGGACCATCCCTCGCATTACTGCAGAACTCCAGAGACGCATCATTCCTTTTCCTGCCACGGCCAGGAAAGCTGAGCTCTACAAATTAATGCGTACTCATACTGATAACTCGGGGGCGGGAGAGGGCACAAGTGGTACGGGCAACTTAGACCTACACGCCATGGTCGCTTCACTAGTAGCAACGATAGACTGGATAGGATCGAGGCTCGGAGCCCTCCTGTCAGGTCTTCCAGTCCCTCGACTGCCTTACTCCCCAATGCTCCACTATTGCAATCGGGTAATTATGTGCCTTCTGGTTCCGAAACTCACATTATCAATCCTGTGCACATGGTCCCAGATAAGATTAAGAAAGACATCTTGGAGGGGAAGGATGTCAATCTTGTGGCATTACTTATTGCTTCTCACGATGTCATTGATAACCGCACTTATGCTTATGGTGATATTTCGGTGGTGTTGAAAGCCAGGGACCCTAGATTAAATAAGAAACTGTCCATAACTGATTTTGTCTTGGCTTTTGGTATATATCGTGATGTAATTTGTTCTCTTTATGCGCATAGACGAGAGGAACTCGACCTCTACATGCACAAGCTGGTGGACTTGGGAAGCAAATATGGTGGGTCATCCTTTTATAACTGTCACCAATCCTTTTCGGCAAGAGCGTATGCAATATTGGCTCAGTATAACGTCAAAACTGACTGGAGCCGCATGGATACTGAGCTATTTTGTAGACATTTTGCCGGTCTCAAGACACCAGCTTGTGCTGTTTGTGCTTCAACATCACATTCCTCAGACTATTGTCCCACTATGCCAGAGTCCACACCTGGGACTTTCCGTGAACCACAGACCAGGTTGGACAGATCTGGCAAGGACAAACTTAGTCACCCTATTGTTTACCTGCGAAAGTCTCAGGTTTGTAATAACTTCAACGTAGGTACATGTGGTTATAGCGCCTGCAGATTGTTACATGTGTGTTCACATTTTTTTAGGGCACACGCCAAGTCTATGTGTCCCAATAAAAGTCATACTAAACCATACTTGACATCCGTAAAGATTGGTTCTTTGGCGCACGCATTAGCCTCCCACCCATCCAAACACCTAGTGGACTTTTTGATAGATGGTTTCACGGAGGGATTCCATACAGGGTTGGTTCATACCCCCGCTGGCATTTATGAATGCAACAATTTACAGTCAGCATTTGCAAGTGTGGAAATGATCGATGCTCTATTACACAAAGAATTGGAGGATGGGTTCGTATTGGGACCTTTTTTGCGAGCCCCCATTTTCCAATTGGCGAACCAACCCCATAGGATTAGTCAATGGGAAATCCTCAAGGAAACACAGACTTATTTTAGACCTATCAGCACCTCACTCCTTGGTCATACCAAGCCTTAATTCCCTAATTCCATTGAGGAATTTTCACTCCAGTACGCCACTATAGACAACGCTACACACACCATCATCACAGCTGGCATAGGGGCTTGGCTCAGTAAAACTGACATTGTCAATGTGTTTAAGTTACTACCCATTCGCCCGTCACTATGGCATCTGCATGGTTTAAAATGGAAAGGTGTCTATTATTTTTTCACAAGACTCACATTTGGGTCAAAAAGCAGCCCAAAAATATTTGACATCTTTTCCGAAACCTTATGTTGGCTGCTGTTAAACAATTGCAGATGCCAGGCCGTTATACATTATCTGCATGACTTTCTATTCGTGGAGAATAATTCCTCTTCCCCCAGTGATCTGATAATGGCCATATCATTTTTTCATTCTTTGGGGGTGCCAGTGTCCCCCAAGAAAACAGAAGGCCCTGACACGTTAGTAAATTTCCCAGGTATCCTGCTTGATTCAGTAAACATGGAAGCGAGCCTACCTCCAGGTAAAATTGACAGCATACTACAATCCATTAACAAATTTTTGGTGAATAGGACATGCAATAGGAAGGAATTGCAATCTTTGTTGGGATCGTTGAATTTTGCTATACGAATCATCCCGCAAGGCAGGGCCTTTATTTCTAGACTCCTTTGCCTCCTCCCTCTCATACCAAATTACGTTACTCGTATCAGCTTGGAGGCACAGGCTACTGCTGATTTGCTAATGTGGCCCAAATTCTTGTTGCAGCGGAATGGCAGAAGCATGTTCTTGCCTCCATTGTCTGTCCACTCTCAAGTCATTTGGACAGAAGCGGCAGATTGTCTGGCCCCATTTGAACACTATACAAACATGGTAATCGAAACAGCTATCTACTTGGCATATTATGGTTTTCTTAGACATGGTGAGTTTACCATACAGGGAAACAAATACGCACAAAACTGCCTCAAACGGTCCCATCTCACCAAACTACATGATCACTATATCTTGTCACTACCAGTTACGAAAACAAGCCAGCTGGGCAAGATAGTACCAGTCACATATTATCCTACTGCAAACAAATGGTGCCCGGTGAAAGTATTGGATACATACCTCCAATCATTACCACCGCAGTCTGACATCTGGCTGCTAGTCATACACAAAGAGGTCTTAACATTAGCCAAATTCATGCAATACGTCCGCATGTTACTGACCAGACTAGGTCTGAACGCTGGCAACTTTTCTGGCCATTCCATTCGGAAAGGGCCAGCCTCCACAGCCTCCAGCCAAAATATTCCATTACATGTAATCAAGTCTTTGGACCGCTGGAAGTCCTCAGAATTTGCTTTATATATGGAGAGAAAAGAACAAATAAGGGTGCGCCTAAGACAAGTAGAATGAATATATAAAAAATATATAACAGAGAGTACGAGCAGCGATACCTAAAAAGTCCGAATATAAATAATCCACATATGCAGGAGGTAGTCCTAGTGGTACATAAAATGGTATGTGAAGTCCCAGATGTATATCCGCAGTTTCAAAGTGGGTATGTAAAGAAAACAGAAGACAAGGGAAACTCCAATGATATAGTATGAACGGTAAATAATATTGTATATATAATTGTAGAACTACTCACAATATTCAGAGCTTAAATCCAGCTCTGGTATAAATGGCACGTAGTGGAATAATCCCCACTCAAGGATATACGGTGCTCCTCTTTTGTTCTTTAGCAGAGTACTTTGGTGGAGTAGTCCAGCTTGTGGTAAAAGGATAAAATATATAGTGCTCACTGTATAGTTGATAAAATGTAGAAACAGAATAAAATATACTCACGGTATATAGAGCAGACGTACTGCTCGGTGGATGGCATATGGGTGGTATAATCCCCACCTTAGGATTCTTGGTACTTCAATATGGACAAAAAGGTACTAGTAGTCAGGTCTGAATAAAATAAACTTGCAAATGGTAAAATAATAAAATTATACTAAAAGAAAGTAATATAATTCTAAGGTGGAAAGAGGAATGTGGCAACCAAATGTATAATATCCAAATATTCCTTTATTAACACTTAGATTATATAAAAAGTTCCTATACGCGTTTCGCCACAATAGGCTTCATCAAGTAGAAACTTATAAATTTCTACTTGATGAAGCCTATTGTGGCGAAACGCGTATAGGAACTTTTTATATAATCTAAGTGTTAAGAATCCTAACGTGGGGATTATACCACTTTGATCTGGGAAAAGGCTATTTCCTTATTTAAATCGGAACCACAGCGGCCGGCGTCTCCAGTAAAGCCGCCTAATGGGGATGGAAGGAGGTTGGCTTTTGATCTGCTGAGGGTGTTAAGTGTTTTTTATTTCTGTTGACCTGTCGGAGAGAAAATCTACAACATAACTGGTAATTATGCTGGTTTTATTTAATTAAATTAATTAATAGTTTACTAATAACAGGAATATATATATCTGGAAAAATCTTGGTCTGGTTTCAATCATTAGAAATCTTAGTTAGCTAAAGAATATATGGTTATAAAAATTCCATTCCTGTAGGAGGAATAAAGATAACAATATGTAAGGTAATATTTGCCAAAGGTTAGCATGCCACATTTATCCAGATGTATTGACTTGTTCTGAAATAAGATAGTGAATCTTATTTAGGAAAATTTAAATTAGGCAAATGTAAAATCTGGTAGAATTATTCTTATTGATGATCCAGGAATAGTTAATGATCTGGTATGAGCATTGCTTTAATTGAAAACAATTGCAACAGAATAGGTTATCTTGCCTTGGAGGATTGTAGCCAGCAGTGGAAGGGTTACTCAGTGTGATCTAACTGTTAGCCAAAGTTTTATTGCTTTAGGCTGTGCTGTGGATTTCTGCCTTCTGTGTGAAGTTGGTTGCTAAGTGAAGTGCCCTATCATAAATTTTGTGACAACTGATCTCTTTGAGACGCTGTATTGTATTTAAACCATTGCCATATTGTATGCATATGTTATATTTAAATATTCACTGATTGTCACACATGTTACATATTATTATTATTATTATTTTATTATTATTTTTGACACAATAAATTATATTTTTATAATGAAATTGTGATTTACTGTAAAAATCCTCTAGTGAAACCTCCTCTAGGGTCTCTGAGAGATAAAATTGTGGGTAATTTTCTGCTTTATATTATCAAATTCTGGGATACAGTGCCAAGATTTTAATTTTGATATAATAAAAATTATTAAATACATTTTTGATAATTTGTATGAAAAGATTATTTTAATATTTATCACTCCATAAATATCCTCACAATTTTTATATATATATATTTATATCAAAATACACTTAAAATGAAATTATATATATCTATGTATATCCCCTTAATGGCCATGGACGTGCTATGTACGTCCGACAAAAAAACGGTAGTTGCTAGGTACGTCTGTGGCAAATAGGAGCCCTGGACTTACCTGGACCGGTGATCCGCAGCGATCCTGCAGCAGCTTCGGCCACCCCGGCCCTCCAGGTCCATGTGATCGCCATGATCACATTGCCGCAATATATTATAATTAAAGAATTGTATAATATATTATACATATTTAATGCATACCAGGACTCACAGCACACAACCCTGCAGGACTTGCCATAAACAGAGGTAGCATTTCTGGATGATCATCTTGAATACCTGGACTTCTTATTTTATCTACTTTTGTTTTAAATTGTATTTCTTTCTTTCTCCACCCCCCACAGTATTACTGCTTAATTGATGACTATTGCACCCTTCATCCTTAACTCTTGTTTTAGTTAACAGTTTTTTTGTTTTTTCTACATATTTTCCTGTTTACTATCTTAAGGAAGTGAAATAGAGGTGCCACTGATATACCCCAAGAAGAGTTTGCAATGCATAAAAAATGTTTGTTTTTGTATGTCTGTTATGTATATTATATTAATGAAGTTTGGAATGCCATCTACCTAATTTAGGTAATAACAAATAGTGAACTAGGACGACTTATTTGGTAGATAGAATGTACTCTTATTTTAGAAGGAACGTTGGACTAAAACTTGGTTATGCAGATTGATTTTGTTAATATGGTATTTAGATGGCTTTAGGAAATGATATTATTGAGTAAAGAAAAGAGGAACAAGCTCCAATATCGTAAATGGTAATGTGTAATATTTTGTACATATGTAATACCACAAGTTCTATCTAAATGGTGGTAGATGACAATATTTTGATGTCTTTTATATTATTACTGTTGATGGTAATGCTTTATACGTCTATTTAAGAAAAACGAAATAAATAAATTATAAAAAAAAAACTCTTGTTTTAGTTAAATGTTTGTTTTGCTAGTGTTAGTTATTGCACTCTAAGCCTCATTCATTTATGATGTTCCCTATTTATGACTTTTACCTATCTTATCTCTGCCATTCCCTCATATCCTTAAATTTAAATTCCCTTTCATCTGCTTTTTCCTTGATTTTGTTTTTAACACCCCAATGATTCTCCACCCACAATCTGCTTTATCTAACCCCAGATTCTCTCCTTTATAGTCTGGGCCCCTTACTGCTCCCTTTCTCATCAAAGCTTTTGGAAAGACTCGTCTTTACCCATGTGTCTCGCTTCCTCGATTCCAACTCTCTCCTTGACCCTCTTCAATCTGGCTTCCGCCCTCTCCATTCTACTGAGACTGTTCTTATCAAAGTTACTAATGACCTAATCGCAGCTAAATCCAAAGGTCACTACTCCATACTAATTCTCCTTGACCTCTCTGCTGCCTTTGACACCGTTGATCATGCTCTCCTCCTTCAAACTCTTCAATCGCTCGGTCTCTGAGACTCTGTCCTCTCTTGGTTTTCCTCCTATCTCTCCTATCTCTTCAGTGTATCCTTTTCCGAGGATACCTCCTCCCCTCATCCTGTCTCAGTTGGAGTTCCCCAAGGCTCTGTTCTTGGTCCACTTCTATTTTCTCTTTATACTGCCTCTCTTGGCAAACGTATTGCCTCTTTTGGATTCCGCTACCACCTGTATGCTAATGACACTCAGATATACCTCTCCTCCCCAGACCTCCCCCCTGCCGTCCTGCAACGTGTAACTGCTTGCCTTTTTTCTATCTCTGACTGGATGTCCTCATGCTTTCTGAAACTTAATCTCTCTAAAACTGAACTCCTTGTCTTTCCTCCTCCTAATACTGATCCTCCTCTCTCGCTCTCCCTTCAAGTCAGTGATATCCACATAAGTCCATCCTTGCAAGCGCGCTGTCTTGGCGTCATACTTGACTTTGACCACACCTTTGAGCCTCACATCCAGTTTGTTGCCAAATCCTGTAGGTTCCAACTCAAAAACATAGTCCACATCCGCCCCTTTCTTACACAAGATGCTACCAAGGAGCTTGTCCATGCTCTAGTAATTTCCCACATGGATTACTATAACCCTCTCCTGATTGGTCTCCCCAAAAGCCATATTGCCCCGCTACAGTCTGTAATGAATGCTGCAGCTAGACTTGCTGATTTTCCTCTCTAGTCGGTACTCTCACACCTAACCCCTCTCCCAGTTCTTACATTGGCTTCCGGTATCCTACAGGAGTCAATTCAAAGTGCTAACCCATACATTTAAAGCATTGAACAATTCTAGCCCCTCTTATATCTCATCACTAATCCATAGGTATGCCCCTCCTTGTTCCCTCCACTCTGCCCGTGACCACCTCCTGACTGCTGCTTGCACCCGTACGGCCAACTCGCGCTTGCAGGACCTCTCGCGTGTAGCTCCTTTCCTATGGAATAGCATGCCTACCGCCATCAGACTCTCCCCTAGTCCTCAATCATTTAAGAAAGGCCTTAAAACCCATCTCTTCTTAGTCTCTACTATAGGGCAATGCTTTACTCTCTCCTCCAGCTCTGCTTCACTCCCACCCTATTTGATATTTCCTTTCCTAACGTGTCTTATACCCCACCTCCTATAGACTGTAAGTTCATTTGAGCAGGGTCCTCTTCAACCTTTTGTTCCTGTAAGTTTTCTTGTAATTGTCCTATTTATAGTTACATCCCCCCTCTCATAATATTGTAAAGCGCTACAGAATCTGTTGGCACTATATAAATGGCAATAATAATAATAATAATAATAATAATAATAATAATATATATGATTTCATTATCATATATCATTCATTATAAGATATAGATCTCAAAATATACATAATGAAATCATATATATGCAATAAATTTATATAATATATTATAAAATGCTTTAATTATATTATACATATATAGGAAATAAAAGTGTGTGTGTGTGTGTGTGTGTGTATATATATATATATATATATATATATATATATATATATATATATATATATATATATATTTATTTATTTTTTATAAAAAAACAAATAAAAACGCTAGTTTAGCCAGTATTTGTGTCTAAGTGGCTACTACAAGTGACTGGAATTACCCCATTTGGAATACCCTGGGTTGTCTACATTTGAAAATGGTATGCTATGGGGTTATTTCACATTCCTGGGCTACCAAATGGTCTCAAAAGGCAACACAGACCCAGCAAACCAATGTGGCAAAGATATTGGGGTGTTCTTTGGCAGTAACCCTTAAAGTTATCCGTACATCTATTCTTAAATTGTTAGGTGTGTCAAAAAAATCACACATTTTTTATTTTTTTTAAATTTGGCATAGATTGGTTGTAAAATAGTTGCATGAAAAGAGTCAAAAATACCCCAAGTTTAATACCTTAGGTTGTCTTCTTTTAAAAAATATATACATTTGAAGGGTTACTCAGGGATTCCTGACAGATATCAGTGATACAATGTAACTTAATTTTGGAAAAAAAATGGTTTGGAAATAGCAAAGTGCTACTTGTACTTATAGCCCTATAACTTTCCAAAAAAAAGCTAAGGACATGTTAATATTGGGCATTTCTAAACTCAGGACAAAGTTTAGAAACTATTTAGCATGGATGTTTTTTGGTGGTTGTAGATGCGCAACAGATTTTGGTGTTTAAAGTTAGAAAAAGTGTGGGTGTTTTTTAGATTTTTTCATCATATTTTATAAAAAATTTTATAGTAAATTACATGATATGAAAATAATGGTATCTTTAGAAAGAACATTTAATGGCGAGAAAACGGTATATAATATGTGTGGGTACAGTAGATGAATAAGAGGAAAATGAAACACAAACACCACAGAAATGTAAAAAGAGCCCTGGCCCTTAACGGTAAGAAAATTGAAAAACGGTCTGGTCACTAAGGGGTTAAAATGACTACCTTATTGTGATGCTTTTTTCTTCTTTGTGATATCATGTTTGGGATTTATTTATACGTACATTGAATTGTCTTTTGTATTACCACCTCTGATGGGTTTTCAATCCATATTTCTACTGCATCTTTTTGTTTTACGTTTTGTAGGATAAAAAATGAGTACATCTTATGTATATATGTGAAGGGATTATACATAGAGTTGTGGGAGGGGTTTTGCAGTTTATATCTACCTCCACCCAACTTTCTCCAGATGTTCTGTCGACGTTTTGGAAGCCCACCTACCTCTCCCTCATTATACTTTTTCAATAGCTGCGCCTTTTTTTTCAGGTCTACTTGTTCGTTGGTTTTGGCACAGCACAACCGACTTGCTACTACTGGTATAGCTCAAACTTTATTGTATGCCCTTGGCTTTTGACCCCATCCATATATATATATATATATATATATATATATATATATATATATATATATATATATCATACAAGATCCAGCGCACTCACTCATTCACTAAACAGCAATTTCAAAGCTCACAGAATAAAACCTCCTAACCTAGTGTCAAGTTCTAATGATGACAAGTGAGATTTTTTTTCTTTTTGTTACTGTTCCTTTAAATGCAGTTCTGGTTTTCCCCTCTAGTGGCCTCCCTAGCCACAAGTCACCTCAGTCCTCAACTGCATAGGACTAAATACTTCAGCTACAAAAGCTTACACCCAACTAACCTCATGGCCATTACATTGAAGTTATTGTTCAGACCAAGAACTTCAGATCCTGACTCCTGTAAAACATCATGTACTTGCCTGCATTGCATCATACCTAAAGGTATTTACCTGCCTGAATTGTTTCAACCCTGCACCATCCTGTACTTGCATGTATTGCATACCTGCCTGAACGCCTTCAAATCTGTACCACAGCTACCTTGATAAAAACAATCTGCAAAAACCCACTATCAGGACATTACTGAAAATTTGATTTGCACTTTTGGTTGTTTACGTTATAGGGCATATTGCCTTAATGATTATTTCTTCCTTTTGCTTTTTATTATTTCAACGAAAATAACTGTTATAATGTCAAAGGAAAAAAATAAAGTCACTTCTGTTAAACCTGGCCATCTGACCTGATCGTGAACATGACACCTAGACAAAAACTTTTGGGGATTTAGTAACAGTATATGATCATACATTGCATAAGCCTACCATAACATCAATGTACACTATTCTTGATAGATCCTACTCTAGCAACCTAATGCCTGCTCTTATGAGATAAATCAACTTACTTGGAAAATCCTTCCTCTTGGGTCTCTCTGCAATGCAAGGTTAAATACCTGTGAATACTTGGTAGTTGGCCTAGACTCCCAAATACATTTTATATTTAAATATATCTATGTGTGTGTATGTGTGTATGTATGTATGTATGTATGTATATATATAAATATATATATATATATATATATCTTTATTCCAACATGTAGATCAACGTTTCAGTCCTCTCAGGGATTTTCATCAGCATCAAATAAATAATAGTTTATTTGATCCTGATGAATGTCTCTGAGAGGACTGAAACGTTGATCTACATGGTGGAATAAAGAAAACCTTTTTCTATGGAAAGACCGTGAGTGTAGACCATTTGTTTTATTACTTTGTATACTGAAGCCCCAAAACTGGCACCCAGCATTATATATACAAAAAGGCAGTTTTTTAGCCTGAGTGCAAGGACTATCAATCGTGTGTGTGTGTATATATATATATAAACAAAAAGTGCTACACTCACCTGAACATGCATAAGGATGCTGCTGGGGTCAATTCATACAACATACAAAACCCAGCTGACTCACTCATTCACTAAACAGTAATTTCAAGACTCTAGAATGTAATAGTTCTGTTTTTTTTAAATCATAAGTGTATCATCATTCAACAATCATTCTTCCCAGTCTGGACAAATACAATATACACTGAACAAAATTATAAACACGACACTTGTTTTTGCCCCAATTTTCACAAGCTGAACTATAAGATCTAAGACTTTTTCCATGAACACAAAAGGCCTATTCCTCTCAAATATTGTTCACAAATCTGTCTATATCTGTGTTAGTGAGCACTTCTCCTTTGCCGTGATAATCCATCCAGCTCACAGATGTGGCATATCAAGATGCTGATTAGAAAGCATGAATATTGCACAGGTGTGTCTTAGGCTGGCCAAAATAAAAGGCCACTGTAAAATGTGCAGTTGTACTGTATCAGGGGTGTCCAGGGGGGGTCTGAAACCAGTCAATATCTGGTATGACCACCATTTGCCTCACACAGTGCAACACATCTCCTTCACATAGAGTTGATCAGGTTGTTGATTGTGGCCTGTGGAATATTGGTCCACTCCTCTTCAATGGCTGTGCAAAGTTGCTGGATATTGGCAGGACCTGGAACATGCTGTTGTATACACCATCCACAGCATCCCAAACATGCTCAATGGGTGACATGTCCGGTGAGTATGCTTGCCATGAACAAACTGGGATGTTTCCAGCTTCCAGGAATTGTGTACAGATCCTTGCAACATGGGGCCGTGCCTTATCATGATGCAACATAAGGTGATGGTCGTGGATGAATGGCACAACAATGAGCCTCAGGATCTAATCACAGTATCTCTGTGCATTCAAAATTTGCCCACTCAAGTTGGTTACGACAATGAACTGCAGTCAAGTCGATACCCAGATAAGGACGACGAGCATGGAGATGAGCTTCCTTGAGACGGTTTCTGACAGTTTGTGCAGAAATTCTTTGGTTATGCAAACCGATTGTTGCAGCAGATGTCAAGGTGGCTGGTCTTAGACGATCTTGGAGGTGAAGATGCTGGATGTGCAGGTCCTGGGTTGGTGTGGTTACACATGGTCTGCGGTTGTGAGGCCAGTTGAATGTACTGCCAAATTCTCTGAAACACCTTTGGAGATGACTTATGGTAGAGAACTGAACATTCAATTCACAGGCAACAGCTCTGGTGGACATTTCTGCAGTCAGCAAGCCAATTGTACTCTCCCTCAAAACTTGTGACATCTGTGGCATTGTGCTGTGTGATAAAACTGCACATTTTAGAGTGGCCTTTTATTGTGGCAATAATCATGCTATCTAATCACCATCTTGATATGCCACACCTGTGAGGTGGATGGATTATCTCGGCAAAGAAGAAGTGCTCACTAACACAGATTTAGACAGATTTGTGAACAATATTTGAGAGGAATAGGCCTTTTGTGTTCATGGAAAAAGTCTTAGATCTTATAGTTCAGCTTGTGAAAATTGGGGACAAAAACAAAAGTGTTCCGTTTATAATTTTGTTCAGTGTATATATTGCATTTGTTCAGGTTGTTAAGAATGATTGTAGAATGATGACACACTTATGATCTAAATAGAAACATAGAATGTGACGACGGATATGAGCCATTCGGCCCATCTAGTCTGCCCAATTTTCTAAATACTTTCATTAGTCAATGACCTTATTTTATATATAACACATGTTTAAACTGCCTCACTGTGTTAACCTCTACCATTTCAGCTGGAAGGCTATTACATGCATCCACTACCCTCTCAGTAAAATAATACTTCCTGACATTAATTTTAAACCTTTGCCCCATTAAATTAAGACTATGTACTCTTGTTGTGGTTATTTTTCTTCTTTTAAATATACTCTCCTCCTTTACTGTGTTGATTCCCTTTATGTATTTAAATATTTCTATAATACCCCCTCTGTCTCATCATTCCTCCAGACTATGCAAGATCCTATAATCTTTCCTGGTAAGTTTTACCCAGCAATTCATGAACCAGTATTGTAGCCCTTTTCTAAACGCTCTCCAAAGTCTCAATATCATTCTGGAGAAATGGTCCCCAGTACTGTGTACAGTATTCCAAGTGAGGCTTCACCAGTGCTCTGTACTCTGGCACTTCCTTATTTTTACTGCTAATACCTCTCCCTGTATGACCAAGTATCCTACTAGCATTTCCTGCTGCTCTATTACATTGTCTACCTATAAGTCAGCTGAAATAAATAGCCTTAAATCCCTTTTCTCAGATGTTGTGATAGAATTTATCTTGATTCCAAGGCTCAAGCTTATAGGTGTCGTATTATGATATCCTATATTAAAATTGGCTAACTTGAACTCAGGAAATGCTTGATGCTTAAAACGACGCTTAAGACCATATATGTCTAGTTCCGGGAGCAAATAGCCCCAACCTGAGCTGTCTCTTCTCAAATCATTCTGTTCTTTCTCTTTCTCTGAACTTATTTGTTATATGTACATGACGTTCATCCCTATGTCTTATCTGTGCTCCTTTTACCCTTTCCCTCCCTTCCTAATACTGTCCTATGAGTATTTGCACGTAAGCACTTTTTAATGTATAAAACTCCAACTGAAGAATAAACGACAGAGGCTTATTTTGATAACCAACACGTGTCTGGTGTCTAATTCATGCTTCTCCAAGTGCACTTGTAATAATAATTTGGGCTTCCGCTGAATAGAAAAAGATCAATATTTGGATCCTATCAATTTGGTGCCAAAACCCGGGATATGACGGTCAAAAGACTCGAACACTAGCGTACAGGTGGACGTACAGGTGGACGTCCCTCTGACAGCGAAATCAGCAGCAGCGAGGTAAGGAAAACTTTTTATCTACCTTTATCAATTTTGCTCTCAAATCCACGTCCTACTGGTCTGTTTGGGTAAGGAATGACTTAAAAACATCTGATATAAAGAACTTGTTTTCTGTGGTATTATGGGTATATTCTTGTGGATGTTGTGGTATGTCTTGTGAAAGGAATCTGAGATAGTGGAATATATCTGTGGGTTTTAAGTTATTTTTATTGTTTGCCTTGACATTTGTTTTATAATTTGAGTTATAATCCTCCAAGGGCAGATCTCCTGATCTGTGTTTAGAAAACCGAAGACAAGATTGTGAAAATTCCACTGCAGTGGTCCTAAGTGTCTTATACACTGTTTTTGTACAGTTTGTCTTTGGTAAGGAAGTAATTAAGGTTTGTCTTGGGTAAGGAAGTAAAAACCTTGCATGTTTTAAGATGGGTAGCTCTCAAAGCACTCAAGGGGGATTTACGGCTTTGACAATTGTCAAGCATCACAAAGGACAAGGAGCAATTAAGAATGTTAAGAGGTTACTTAAGAAAGCTGGCATTCCATCAGAGTGCACTCTAGACCCACATGTATGGAGATAATTTATGGCAAATTACAGAGGATGATTAGAATATAATGACTTAGTAGAAGTCACCCAACAATGGCATGATACTGTAGTTGAATTAACTAAATGTGGTTGTAGAGAAACAACCAGAAAAGGTGGATCATATGATCAATGTTTTGGACCTTTAGGGTCCCAGAGTAGGCAAGATCCTGGAAAAAATCTTGTAAACCCACCCCTTTACCAGGATAATGCAGGGACTCCTTTGGTCCCTAAAGACCAGTCAATTTCCCTTTTACAGAGATCAAAACCTCCCTTTCCAGTAATATTACGCAGTGGATCCCCAGCAGCCCCTATGGGTTCATTAGAGGAGGAGGGTAGTCCACCAGACTTAAGGGAACCCCTAGTTGCCCCCATAGACACCCCAGTGGGGCCATTAGCTCCACAATTTACTACTCCCATGATACCCAAAGTTGAGAGCGTATACCATGAGAAGAGACAGCCGAGCTCAGGTATTCAATACTGGGAAGAATATAAGCCCTGGACACCCAGTGAACAACTAGCAATAATACAGCAGCTGCCAAATGTTGAAAAGGCTCCTTTAGCTCTAGTCCAGTCTCTATCCACCATTCAAGCTACTTACCAGTGTACTTGGATGGATTTAAAACAGATTGTCGCCCTAAAAGCTGGCCCCATTTGAACAAGAATAATTGCTAAATATACTGATGTCCATGAAGATAGCCTCAGAAGAAGCAACATGCAAACAGATGATATCTGGGAGAAATAGGTTTAGAACCAAGTCTGCATCTGGAGCATGCTATGTCACTGAAATGAGAGATTGGGCTAAAGTAAAGACAGATGAACTAGCCCATAAATTAGGAGGTATAGTAGAAGGGAAATATGGAGACATTTTTCACTAGACTACAGATGGCTTGGGAGGCATTGGGTTACACAGGTATTGTAACTACTTCCACCAGACTGCTTATTAACTGCTTCATGGATGGTCTCCAAATACCCATAAGGACTGGTCTCCAAAATGCTAGACCTGAGTGTAGAAATTTAATCTATGGTGATCTGGTAAAGGTGGCTATGGGAGTGGAAGCCAATCTAAAGACTAGAAAGAGGAGCACACCTCTAATGGCTGTAACTGTCACTAGAGCTGGTGGAGACAGAAGGCAGGTAGACTGCTGGAATTGTGTCAGGAAAGGACACATACATATACGCAACTGCAGGTGTCCTCCTAAAAATAGAGACCACAGGATTCAAATGATAACTCCCATGACAGCCAACCACCACCTCCACCACCACCTCCTCCTCCCCAATAGGAAATTGGCAAACCAGTGTCCCTACATGCTATCAATATCCTTGACTATGCAGACGCTCACCCATTATCAATG